CTGAATCTTTTGTGCAAGCCTAAGTACAGTAGTACAACAAACCTAATTGTCAACATCAATGTGTAAACAGAATGGGCAAGCATCATAACAAATAAAGATAAAACCTGTTTACCTCAGAGTTAAGTTAACTTCATATGAGAAATAGAGACCAGTTGTCTTTTCTGCGACATTTAGCAGCTTTGAGAATTCAGTCTCCATCTTTTTCTGTCGGAAGTAGTACAATGATATGACTTTTGAGTGTTGAGATCCATCATTACTGCTTAATATATTCAAGAGAAAACTGGGTTTTACCTGTTCTTCAGGGGAGTTTTTAAGTGAATGATCACAAGGAAGAACCTTGAGCGATGTAATTTTGAAAATAGGATGACCCAGAAACGAGCCAACACGTTCACTCTCAGTCACAACCACCAAGTATGATCCTGAAGTGAAAGAATATTGCGATATAATCAAACTCTCAGATCTAAAAGGAAAACAGACCATATAAACAAGTACAACATACACAAGAATATAGACAGTATTGATGATCCACATTGATAATTGTTTCTAACCTGCAAGGAGCTTCAACATCCCAACAACACCAAATATAGAACGGATTTTAGGAACACGCAAGGAATTGGATTCCGCGACTTGATCTGAGGCAGAGTAGACGCAATGAAAGAGAATGAGAGACATCAACCATTTTTCCCCCAGTAAAATCAAACAAAATTGTTTGAAACAGAAGAAAAAAAAAACGAACCGATTAGCTTCATGGAAGCATCAACACGACTAATATCCAAACATGGAGCGCCTGAGCCATCAGCTGGCTCGATGATATACTGATCAGGGAATTCCCATAAACGTAAACGCGAGTGCAATTTGTTCCGAGCATCAGATGCCTCCATACTAAACACAATCAACAGGAGACACGGGAAATTTCACAAATCGAAGATGATGATGCTGACTCGTGAAAAGCAAAAGGAAGAAAGGAGAAAGTAAGAAGATCACCTGAGCCGTGGAGATCTGAAAATCTTCGCCGGGAGGCGTCGGAAAAAAAGAAGGAAGACGAATTGAGAGAGGAATTGGAATTTGTGGAATGCGTAGAACGTGCAATGATTTTGCGTTAATCGTTAGAAATCAATTCTTAGTGGGAGACCACCACATGGTATTTTGCAGCAGCTAGCTTCTCAAAGGTCACCGGTTCGATTCCTATTTCCTACAAGCTAGCTTTTTAATCATATCAGGGCCTGCGATTCTTAACTGAACCG